TGTGCAAATACGGTGTAGTGTTAGTCATCATTTTTTGCGCGCTATAGAGAATATAGCACTTGGAGTTTCCATTTCCTTTTTCGTCTTGGCTGGTTCCGGCTTAAAATCAAACATCAAGGACTCGATCACATGTTTTAAAATAGTGAAAATCACAGTAATAGTGAGAAATGAGCAAAACTTGGAATCTCAGGTGCGCTTCTAACTCGCGATTACCTTTTCCGGTGGCTCACGTGTTGTCCATTGCAATCATCGAGGCCAATGCTTTGCATTACTTTCGGCCAATTTTCTACCCTAACTATGCCATCAGCAATCACCCGTTAATGAGAGCGATCTAGCGAGCAGAAATGGGCATTGAACCCAGTTAAGGCAGTTAACTGAATGGAATAGGTAAAGTGAAAACATAGCTGGGAGAAAGGGAAGTCAAGGACCTTGGTTGGTTTGGTGGAAAGCAGATGAGCTCCCGGTGAGGGTAATCACGGATTCGAAGCACACCTGAGTTTTTGAGCTTTGCTCATATCTCAGCATTATTGTGGTTGTAGTTCACAAAATACCTGCCATAAAAAAGCAACAGGCAACAAATAAAAGTTGAACGTATTGAAAATCGATCGGCGAGACACCTCATTTGTGTGAACGACTTGCTAGACAAGATTCGTCAGCAAGTGGGCTCAACAGGGTGTCGAAAACACGTCGCGCTAACTGCTATATGAATGTTCAAACTTCTTTTAAAGACACATATAATACCAGTTTATCTCATCCTGTTGTGTCTGGCTATTAATAGAATGACAAACCGCTATTCACAGTTAATTAACAAACCGACTGTTGATGGTGATGGTACAATGTTTAACGTTTTGTTTTCTGCCTTCTATAATTTTCATGGCAGGTTACTAAGCGAAATACAACCACAACGTTGCTAAGATATTTGCAAAACTCTGGACCGCAGGTGTCTATGGTGGTGGGTGTCTATCTTAGCAACGCTGTGGTGATGGTACAGTTTCATGGACCATTCGACACCATCACTCTACTACTCCACCACATTCTGTTGTTATCTTACCATAATTAAACGCTTAAAATCTGCATCAACGCAATGGATAGCGCTAGGCACTTTCGGCGTTGGTCAATCCCCGAGGCATGCGACATGTGTTCGACTTTATAAAGCACTGTTAGAGGTGAATGAATACAAATTCGGCCTATAAAATGACTCGCACTGGCCCACCGATCTATCGAGCCGCTACTGCTATCCTCCCAAACAGGTCTCTACCAAATTGCCGACTCCGGAGGAATGGAAGGCTTGGTGGGCCATGGGCGCTAGGATAGATTCCACTTGTGTGTTGCAGGGCATTTCCGACCACTGCGCCACATATGCCCATATCGACATAATGAATCCACTAAAAGTTCTACATATCACGTGACAAAATCCTCGACCTCTAATGCAGACAAGTATTCGCTTTCGACGTCAATGAAGTTCAGAAAAACGTTGCTTCTAGCTTGGCGACTTTCTCCTATGCGATACAGAATTCAGAAAATTCTTTCAACATGTTTTCTTTATTTTATTTATGTAGTAATGTAGATAGGACACGTGTGGCGCAGTGGTCGAAGGCGCCTTGCAACACACGCGTGGAATCGATCTCTGTGCTCATGGCCCACCAAGCGTTCCATGCCTCCGGAGTCGGCAAATTGGTACCAGACTTGTCTGAGAGGATAGCAGCACTGGCTAGATACATTGCTAGACCACCGCGAGTCATCGTATAGGCCAAATATGCATTCAGTCACGCCCGACGATACTTAGTGAAGTCGAATGCATAGCGCTTCTCTCAAGGATTGATCAACGCAGAGAGCTCTTTTTAGTACTGTAGATCAATGAATAACCGAATAAGGAAAACATTAGTGAACCGTAGTCACTCGGTATTTACCGTGTAAAAATTGCTTAGCACTTGTAAAAGCGCCATCACACCAAAACATAAAGGAACAGTCGATCTTTTACAAAAACCACCTTCCTATAACTTTTTTGTATGATACGACATGATTTATGGTGCTGATCCTAGCACTTCTTTCATTCGACTCGTTTCCTCTCATCCGTCATCCACGAAGGTTTTCGGATTCGTATGCATGGCTTCAGCCGCTGCTTGAGAATTTTTGATTTTTCTTTACGAATGTTCCTAAATGCTGGTTGAGTAGATTCTTCTCGAGATCCTAGAATAACTACGCTAGCGGTCCCAGCTTCTCACCATAGGCAGTCACAAATCCTTGTGAAAGGAGTTCTTCCTGGAAAAATTCTAGTAACACGACTTGAACAGTTGGACGACTCCAAAATTTGGCCACGTGAGGCCAATTCGTTTAACTAACGTGCTAGTTTTTTGGAATCGTCCTCATATTTTTAATTGTTTTAGTGCCGTCTGCTTTGGAATTCTGTCTTTTTTTCTGACACTTTTGCAATGGTTGCGGACGTTGCTATGATACGAAACAGTTATGAATTTCAACGACCCCACTCACTATTCATGGGTACACTATTAGTGGAGAACTGGAGGCGGATTTTAATTTATGGGTTGAGCAGCAGAAGCTCTCAATCGTCAGTCGTAGCACTTCCATTCCACGATCCAGCCAGGTGAGGGGTGTGAAATAAAATTAAGCACACGACCTTGATAGTCATTGATCGACGACTACATGTTAGCGATAGTGGTATTACTTTCATTTTATTTTGCATGAGCTCTCATCGCATCTCTTGTACGGATCCCAGCATCTATTTCATTCGATCCGTTTCCACGCATCATTCATCCATGACGTTCTTCGAACTATTGTCATGTTGTTTCAGCTGCTGCTTCAAGCTTTTGTCTGCTTCATGAATGTCGCAGGCTGGTCGACTCGATTCTCCTTGCAATCTTCGGAATAGCTGAGCTAAGGCGTACCGACGTCTATTAGGGGAGAGTGTTGAGGAGGGTTTGAACCAGCGACTTGTTTTCTGATGAGCCAACCATCTACTACACTAACCTCCTTTTTTTGTTAAATTCCTATACGACACAAACGAAAGAACTTTGCATCATTTATTGATTCGGTTCTTATCAATTTATTGTAATCCATTTGTAACACAATTATAACATGTAAAAAATATGCATAATCGACCTGAAGACTTGTTATTATCTTCGTTGTATGTAGTTCTTTAACCACATCAAAAAAATTTCGTGGCTTATCTTGATCCCTACGAATTGGAATCCAAGCTGCCACAGCAGTAAACAAGGTTTTGTCACCAAAGTTAGATTGGCATTCTTTAAACCGGGAAATCTGCTTAGTGGCTGGTTATGTTATCGTAATGTGACGACTTACTTTGGCGTCCAGCTGTGATGTTTAGCTTTATGCTAAAGAAAATTGGAAGCCAGGCATTGCCACCATTCGAGATAAGACTGTCGTCTTCCTCACTGCTACCAAAAGCTTGGTAATTACCTCTGGCGACATATTTATTTGTATAATCTTAAAAACTGATGTTCTTTAGCTGATGCGAGGTTGGTATAGGTCTTTGTTGTCGTTGTTGTTGTTGTTGTTGCTGTTGTTTTTGTTGTTGTTGTTGTTGTCCTTGCTGGCCGATGGCTGACGTTTCGACGATTTCGTCTTTCTCAGAGCCGTGATGTTCCTCCTCATGAGTCCGACTCGTAACATCACGTCTCTGAGGAAGGCGAAATCGGTGAAACGTCAGCCATCGACCAACAAGAACAACAGCAACGACAACAACAACGAAGACCTATACCAACTTCGCATCAGCTAAAGAACATCAGATCATATAATTAAATATATCAAATATCTCTGGCGACATTGGAGAACGACTAACATGAGTATCTCTGGAATTCGGGATAAAAACAAACTTGCTGAATCAACAACAAACCAATAGAAATGATGCTTTGTTGATTCACATACGATTTCTGAAAGCAGGATATCCAAAGATCCAAGCACCAAGTGGATAGGATTTTTTGTGCCTTTGTTATTACTCATTGTTGGACAAAACAAGCCTTCTTAAACACCTTCTTGTGATGTTCAAGAACATCACCACTTTTTCCGCCTAAGATCTAATCATGTGGTGTTTTTTGGGTTGATCTGGCTTTAGTTGATAGTTTCAAAGTATTTATTAACATGTTTCGTGACATCAGAGAAACTGGTGAGTCGCGACTCGGAACTACCAAGTCCACGTGATGGAAAATTGGAATTCCACGCGAACTTGGATATCCATAGACTCAATAAGCATTCTGACACTCCATATTTTCACAATTTTAACTTAGTATTTACTGCCTACTCTTTTTAGCGGCAGGGTATATATTGCGAGATATAACTTGAATGATGCTGAGATATTTGCAAAACTTCGGACCGCAGGTGTATGCGGTGGGGAACGAACGCGCTATTGTCCTTTCCAGGGAGTAGCGTGTTCACCACCACACCATGCGGGTCCTTCGTTTCACCTGTCTCTCAGCTAGTTCCATCGATCTTTGCCACAGCATTCACCCGTCAGCGGGATTGATCTAGAGGCCCAACTCAGCTTAACTGGGTTCGTTGCCGACCAGACTTGTCTGGAAGGATAGCAGCACTGGTTCGATACATTGGTAGGTCACTGCGAGTCATAGTAAAGGCCAGATATGCATTCAATCATCTTTAAACAATGCTTAGTGAAGTCGAATGTATTGCACATCCCTCATGGATTGATCAATGCTGGAAGCTTTATCCTTTTATCGACTTTATCCTCTATGAGAAGTATTGTACGCAACCTAAACCTAGGAGGGCTTCTTTTTGCGAATTAGAATAACGGAAAGAAAACAGTTACTAGGACGAGTTTGTTCTTCTTTGTGACTTCCCTCCTTATTATGAAGACAAACTAACACAAATGACTTTTGCTGATGGAGAGAGTGGAAGGACATCTCCGCCTTAGGGTACATTTCGGACTACGGGTTGTTAATCATTGTTTTTTATACATTGTACAGGTTTTATGTATTAAACACCAACAAATACTTTCGTTTTCAGCAAACATGCCGATCAGCTCCACACGGGACGATGCGCCTGGCTCGGTCAGTCACGGCTACTCATGGGTCCCACCTGGATTGACACGTAAGAAGGTGAGTGATACGGTATCAACTGCAGAAGAGATGTATTGAGGTAAAATCTATCAGGTTGTTACCTGGACATGTACACTCTAATAGTTGCCCAGCGGCGTCTAATCCTATAAGCTAACCCAAGCTGATGGTGGGCTTGATATTTTAGTATAGAAACCCAACTAAGAGGAAGGAAATAAGAGGAATAAGAGATCATTCTCGTCCTTGAAGGAACCTAAGGGTAGTACTGGAAGATTCCTTTTAATTTAGAAGTGTCGATGACTGCCTGTTATAACGACCTGAGAACGCCTTAACAAAACCATTTCGATATTGTGAAGATTCATTTACTTCCAGTAAGGAGTTTAACAGCTCCTGGAAAACTCTGCGCCATGGATTCCATGGCGAATCCCGGAGAGCTCTTATTTTTTGCCAAAGAGGAGGGTAGAAATAAGACTACTTCTCCACAAGGAAAAAGGTTTCTGTATACATCGAGCCGGTGGAATGCTCTGGCGCATGAGAGCGATGTTGGAGAGTTTAGCGGTGTCTGCTCAGGTTTTTTGATGATTAAAGGAATTACAGACGATGCACATATTCCCAAGATCATCCTTTATTTCCTAGCGCTCAGAGGTGTTGGAGATAGAAATGGACACTAATAAAAAAAGTGCAAAGACCAAGCAAACGTTTATTTGTTCTATTACTTCTCATAATACGGCATCTTGAAGGGAAAATCCACAGATAATGCATGACATACCTTCAGTATTTCAGCTACAAAGTGTTTTAGAAGTAAGCCAGTTAACGATGAATTCGCTTTAGTTTGATTTTAAATCGTTAGGAAAATCGAAATTGAAAGGGGTTCTAAGTTCTGTAAGTCAGTTTACTGTTAGAGCGGGAAGCTAAAAAGCTCTAAGTTGATCAGTCCCTGAGTGATATGCCATGCCTTCGACTTCATTAGGCATCGTTTGGAGGTGATTGAATGCATATCTGGCCTTTACTCTTGGTGGCCTACCGATATATCGGACCAGTGCTGCTATCCTCCTATGCAAGTCCGGTACCAATTTGTAGACACCGGAGGGATGGAATTCTTGGTGGGCCATGGGCACCGGGATCGATTCCACATGAACTTTCTATAAAAGTAGCTCTGCTAATTTTAAAAGTGTTCTCCACGTAACACCATCGTCGACACTCTCAGTCGCACTGATCGCAGAACTCACTTCCGTTACTGGAATGAAATTGTTCAACATTCGTCCCTTTGCCTCCGAACCGTTCAAAAATCTGCACTTTCGAGGGAACAGCTATCAGACGTTTGACAAACCGTAATGTTTTTCTATTAAGTTGTTTTTCTTCAACCAAACACAGGATTCTATTTGAATCGCTGCGGTAGAGAGAATCTTTTTGTTTGCTTAGGTCTTCTCAAAATAAGGTTTGCGAACGAATTGAAAGAAATCTAACGAAATCTCTCATCATTTATGAAAGTTTATTCGAGAGAATCTGAATTTAGTTTATCGACCTAGAACTATTCAAGGAACATGCTCCATATTCCAGCTAGAAGAGGAAATGTGGGATTTTAACCCTAACGTGAACGGTCCACACATTGAATGGTCCATGAATTGTCGACTGGTAAGGTTGAGTCGCAATGATACGAAACAGCGTTAGCGTAACCGAAGTCTTGAAGGGGGACTTAAGTCAGGTGTCCGCCTTACAGTTGACTTTACTAGTAATATGACCTACCGGAATCGAATTGAGTCATAGTGCATCTCAAAAATGATTCTGCGTCATTCGGCAGTGTCTTTCTTATAAAAACCTTTAAGTGCCTGTTTGTCTGGTGCTGTCTGAGCGGTTCCACTAGCCCTCATAGCAATGTACTGCTTTCTCACTTAGCATTGCTATCATAAGCCCCTCTATGTCCTTTACTGCTGACACAATCGACTTGAACTGGTCGGGCTCATCTCCTGTTTGCTGTTCGTCTTTCGTGTACCGTTGATTGTGTCCAGTCTAACTGTCGTAGTACCGACTGTTGCCCATTGTGAAGGTTCTGTTCCTCAGCGACGCCATGCTTGGTGACTCTGTTATGATCGGTTTTCTTTCCGAAGTTGCAAGAATATTTGCTAATTCTATGCAAACTCAGTGGATTGTAGACGTGAGTGGCCGTTCAGTACTTGTTCTCACTGTGCATTCAACGCTACTATTATGTCAGATCAAGACCGCATGTGTTCGTGCTATGATGCCATAGATTTTACTCCGGAATGAAACTACATCGGATGGAGCAAGCTTTCCTTACAAGATGGGGACACAACATAGAAATTTGCTTTGGATACAGAGTTTCGCTAGCAGATCTTAGAATTCATAGAATTAGAGAGAGACAGAGAGAAAAAAAGAGAGAGAGAGAGTCCGTTATTATTCTAATGTTGTTCAGCGTGAAATACGAGTACAAAGTAAATGAATCCATCACTGCTTGGCTATGTTTCATGTCTAGAAAAGAAGCAACATAGAAAAGCTACAGTACCTAGTCCATGCTTAGTCAACCTGCCGTTAGTTTCAGGTAGAAGAATACATGGCACAGTTACCGAATCACATCGTACCGCGAGTGAACTCGACTGGTGAGAAGTACCGCGAGAAGCAGCTACTTACTCAACTACCACGACAGGACCTATCGGTTGCCTACTGCCGACATTTAGGGAATAACACTGAGCGAAAGGTCTGATTTCTTTTTCTTTCTGTCAAGTCGCAGTTTAAAGAAATAGATAACCTATTTTGACAACCTCACCAATACAGACATAGATTTGATTTCGGTGTGATAGTTCGTTTATAAAATTTTCGTCAGAAATCAGAAATTTTTCGCCTTAATATGACTGGTTTTTAAAAAAGTTCGTTTTGAAATATATCCTACTTCGAATAAAAAACCAGTAAACGAATGTTTCGTTACACCTCTTGAAGGCATACAACAGCGTCCCAAAATTAGCGCATGGAGCGATTTTCTTAAATTGGGTCACCATTAACCTTTTCTACCAAATTGAAAATCCTTGTACAAACTAAGATTATGTTTTTCGAAGTTTACACAATGTTGGGCACCTGTAGCTCAGTGGTCGGAGGTTTCCTACGACACGCACACGGGATCGAACCCAGTGCCCGTGGTTCACCAAGCATTCCATCCTTCCGGGGTCGGCAAATTGGTACCAGACTTGTTTGGGAGTATAACAGCACTTCGTCGACACATCGGTAAGCCACCGCGAGTTATCGTAAAGGCCAGATAAGCATTCATCACCGCCAACGATGCTCAATGAAGTCGAATGCGTTACGCATCCTTTAGGAAGTAATCAACGCCGAGAGCTTTTTTATACAGTGTTGGTGTCTGGGTCCGGTCCGGAGTTTTGCAAATATCTCAGCATCTCTGCGGTTATATTTCACCCAGTACCCTGCCGTTAGAAAAATAGTACGCAGTAATGTTTAACGTTTTGTTTTCTGCCTTCTATAATTTTCATGGCAGGTTACTAAGTAAGCGAAATACAACCACAACGTTGCTGAGATATTTGCAAAACTCTGGACCGCAGGTGTCTATGGTGGGGAACGAACGCGCTATTGTCCTTTCCGGGGAGTAACGCGTTCACCACCACACCATGCGGGTCCTTTGTTTCGCACGTCTCTCAGCTATTTCTATCGATCTTTTTGCCACAGCAATCACCCGTCAGCGGGGTTGATCTGGGGAGCGCAAATCGGCATAGAACCCAGTTAAGCTATGGCTGTAGTTGAAATCACAATGTTTAACGTTTTGTTTTCTGCCTTCTATAATTTTCATGGCAGGTTACTAAGTAAGCGAAATACAACCACAACTATGCCGATTTGCGCTCCCCAGATCAACCCCGCTGACGGGTGATTGCTGTGGCAAAAAGATCGATAGAAATAGCTGAGAGACGTGCGAAACAAAGGACCCGCATGGTGTGGTGGTGAACGCGTTACTCCCCGGAAAGGACAATAGCGCGTTCGTTCCCCACCATAGACACCTGCGGTCCAGAGTTTTGCAAATATCTCAGCAACGTTGTGGTTGTAGTACGCAGTAAATAAAAATTGACGCCGTTGTGATTTTTATGTCTTTTGGCAGTTTCGTTGAGTAGTTGTTGAATTTCTTCTGATTTCAGGTCTATGAGGAATTTATTAACGCTCGGAATGAAATCGCTCTCGACATTGGCTATGTAGCAGCTAACATACCAAAAAGGATGGTGAATGAACACGCAACGATATTTCATTGCCGCTCTGGACTCACAAGCAGCCAACGATTTACGATTTTTAATTACAGGAATGCCACAAGTGCTCCGGAATTTTAGAAAAAAACGAAATGGCAGTGATTGCGCCAAAGCTCGGCGAATCGACCGGCTGGCACCCAGCTTGCTTCACATGTGCCACCTGCGAACAGGTGAGTAGCTTCTGGTCATCATTGTAGGTGGCAATTTCAAGAATTGCCATCCACTAACCACGAGAAAAGAATCTTCTCTTAGAAATTCTCGTCTTCACGTTGAACTGTGCAAAATCTTTTTGAATCTCAAGAAAGCTGGAGATGTCAACTAAGATTTTACGAGAGTTCGGCAAAAAGTCTCTTTTATAGCTCTTAGTTGATTTGACGTACTGTGTGAAAGACAACCAGATCTACTGCGAACGACACTACGCGGAATTGCACAAACCACGATGCGCAGCATGTGATGAGGTACTGTAGTTCTCCTCGTGCTCTAAGTAGTACAAGTTATCGGGAACGTTTTAGAAAACTTTCGTTTCAGACAGACGCCAATTGAATGTATATGTATATATAAATGTACATATACATGTATATATACATATGCATATACATATACATATGGATATACATATACATACACATGCACACAGACATACACATGTACATATCCATATACATATACATATGTATACATAATAAGTATGCATATGCATATACATATATGTACATATACATATATACATACACGCGTATACATATACATATACATATACATATACACATATATTTACATATACATGGATCAAACATCAGATTGTATTTATTGTATTTATTTAATTGTATTTACATTGTAAGCTCATCAATTTAAACAAGTTAAGCAGATTAGACTACACCAAGAGAAGTTTGAAATAAGAGAAATCGTATATGGCATGACTAACTGAGGTTACTGAGGTTACGAATCCTTGGACTTAAGGAAGCCATCACCTTTTCTCTCTAAGTTGATTCGAGAGGTTAACCGACGGTTTTCATAATTACTCGAAAAACCAACTTTCTATGAACCTCGGCATAGATAGTTGATATATTTATTTATGTGATCTCATAAACTGATCTTCTTAAGCTGACGCGAGGTTGGTACAGATCTTCGTTGTCGTTGTCGTTGTCGTTGTTTTTGATGTTATTGATCGATGGCTGACGTTTCGGCGACTTCATAATTTGTTAAAAATTTGTCGTTGTCTTTTTTTTTATTCTTCGCAGTGAAACTCAGAACCAATTCAACTAGCTTTCTTAAGTCAAACGAAGAAAAATTTATAGCGGGAAATCCCAGTTTTTCCTACAACTTTTTCTCTATGACATAATATAAGCCGGGTTCAGTCTCTTAACGAACGTGTGAACTAACAGGGGAACCGTGACTTTTATCGGCTGAGCTCTACAGTGCATATTTTCCTACCAGTAAGGCGAGCTTGCGGTGTGTCCTTTTTTTGAAAAGATTGCCAAGGTTGCGATTCTTTTCAGCACCAATTTCTGCTCTTTAGAGTAGTTTAAACTATATTTCTATCTTGCTGGTACATCTTGTAGTAACTCCCAAGTCCGACTTTCTATTAACCTCAACATTGATTGAATATATCTTTCTACTTCTGTTCAGCAAACACGAGGTGCTACTTTATTTCTTTATTTACGCACAAGCTGACGCTTCGGCGGATTTCGCCTTCCTCAGAGCCTGGAAGGGTCAAGTTGACAGCAATCCACTCGACCAAAAACCTCCATAACCAAACAGAGAAAACGCTAAACCAAGATTTCAATCATATTTAGCATAGCTCTGCACACTCACCGCTTTCTATGAGTCTTCCACTGAGTATATCGCGTGAAGACCGACCGCACAGAATTCACATGGAAGCGTAATGTGCCCCTCCCATCAGAATAACAGGTTTATGTACTGTCCAATATCACGCGTGATAACAAGGCATTCCTCCCTGCGGTTCATTTTCGGATTCTTGGAATTTATCCAGATTGCCTCTAGAGTTTTGCGTGCTTGTGTTCTCGATTCTTGCGCGAGGATCGTAACCCTCACTTCAAAATCTTCTCCCTTATGTTTCTGCGTGCTATGCGTACCTAGTAGAGTACTTAGCTTACGTTTGCCGATTAGGTGTTCTTTTACCCGTACGCAGAGTGGTCTACCCGTTTCGCCAACGTATTCGTCCCCGCACGCTTTACAAGAGATTAGATAGACTGCACCCGAACTCATGCAGTCACCGTCTCTACCATTGGGACAAATTATGCAATTTTGCATTGCACATATATATACTGCAAGTGCAGCTATAAAACGCTGTTTACGAAGGGCCAGTGTAGAGAATTCGGTAACGATAATCGAAATACCACCGACTAATCTAAGGCGCCAGCTAGTTCGTAACCGCCTATACGACCGTCTATGTGCAACGCAAAATTGCATAATTTGCCCCAATGGTAGAGACGGTGACTGCATGA